TATATATATATATATAAAATTCATTATATACATACTTGCATAATATATACAATAATTACAAAAGTTACCTTTTATGATGTACAATCAACTCTACAATCATTCGATTTTTTACTGTTGTATGTAAAATTTTTTTCGATTGCGGATGATTCTTGAATTCCCATCTTTTGCAAATACAAATGTCTTCTCAATTGCTTTTGTAGCTTAAACTCCCTGGATTCTTTTAACTTTCGGTTTGGCACATGCCGTAATGCTTTTTTCCAATTTCCTGTATATCTTAAATCCAATAATATATTTATCATCTGATTGATTGAAAATCTTTTACATGAACTAGGACCCCACTCCATATATCTTTCTAGTGGCAATTTGCCCATGCGAATACCATCCTTTTTGGCTTTTGCCAAAGATAAAGGTTCTGAATTAGTCTACAAATTGACAAAAAATTTTCTTAACAAAAGACATGTATGTAATATATATTTATATTATAAAAAAATTTTATATCCATTTACCGTGTCTATCATTGCACCTATGATATATACAGTGTCAGGATCATATTCAGTTATATCAGTTTTACAATGTGGAGTAAGATACAATAACTGATCCTTCTGAAACAAATCTAAGTAAGATTGTGATGTCACAATTGCTGGAAAATCGTCATTCAATAAAGTAGGAACGTTGCGCTGAAAGTATTCCATAAGCAATCCATCTTTGTTCAAATTACAATAATAAAGACACATAGGATCGACATGAGCACGATTGTTAGCAAAAGACAGAGTTAGCTGCTTAGCACAATTGTGAATTTGATGAAAGTTCATATAGCTCTCATAGCTGCAATCAAATACAACTTTTGGTGCAAACATTATGGCTTGCATTAATTTAGCATTGTAATAATGGTTCATAGTTGTTGAATTTATACGCATAAATATCGAATTATATGTGAGTCCATATTTTATTTTGCCAGTATCCTTTGTCTGCTGAGCTTCTGCTTCTGCTTTCTCGGCAAGCCATTTAGCCTTCTTCAACTCCTTTCTCATTTTCTCATTTTTTTTGTGAGTTTCATTACACCACAAATAGTAAAGATATTTTCTGTACAGCATTAAAAAAAGAAATCATCTTAATTAAGATATTAATCAAAGAAATTAGTTAAAATCGCAAAGATATTTTTGAATATGAGAAGAAAAGAGATATATAAGGTACTTACTTTCTTTGCCTCTTGCTCGGTAGTTTTAACAACAGCAACCAATTATCTGGATTAAGTTTTTCAGGAACTTTCTCGGCATCGTTTCGCATTACATCTATCTCTAACTCTAATATTTGATAACGTTTTATGTCTTCGGGATTGGAAAGAAAGTCATCAGGCTTCTGCTGCACATCACTTTTCATTACACTTGTCTCATCGGTCTTCTCGTTGTTCGCGATCTGACAATAAACCCGTTTGTACACTGTATTATTCCAAATACAACGAGAGCTCGCATAGCAATCGATCACGGGTAATAAAATACTTTCGTGGCTTGACTCTTGCGTCAAAAGTTTCCTATGAATCTTCGTCGAAACAATCAGACATCTCCTAAAATGATTATACATCGTACAAGTATAACTTTTCGCAACAATTGCTGTTATCTTCCTCTTTGTTCCTTTTGATTTCCGTCCGTTCGACAAAGTACGTACAACATTGGTAATTTTAAAAGATTGGATCTTTTATTTCATTTCTAGTCAGTTAAAATTCGGGTTTTCTCCACGTGTTGTCATTCTAGTATAAATGTTTTATGATTGTAAGTACATATTGGTATATCAAATTAAATGTTTATTAGTAATATTCTTTACTAGATTTTCGTTTTTTATAGTACGCAATATATACTACGTTTTCGAATTTTTGTGTAATGTTAAAAACTGCGAATATATACCATCTTTGAATACATATATTTCTAACCTGTGCTAACATAACTGAACATAACCAACAGAGAGTAGTAGAGATATATATCTACGCTGTCTATGTCCACAGAGGGCGTATCGTTTTAAAGGATCACCTAAAACCGAGCCATGACTCTCTCAAGCTTCTTTCTGGTAACACAGTGCGATCTTTCATATTTTTTAATAATTTACTAAAAATCATGCGAGCTAATAAATTACTAAAAAGTTTAGAGTTGTGTTCGAAAATCTACTCATCGGATAGAGAAGCATATTAATTAATGACAATAAAATCTTTGCTCTTGTTCTGATTGATCAATTAAACGCTACTCTGATGTCCGATAATGTTAACATCTTTGAACGTAACCATGTTGTATAGTGCACATTTCTAATAAAAATACGAATAGATTTTAGTTCATTTATGCGATTGACATATATCTGATGATAGCGCAACAATCTAAGAAAAAAACGCGGCTGTCCCTTCCTGTCTTTTCTCAGATTCTTTATAATTTGAAAAATCTTTCAGGATGATTATTCTGATGTAATTTCAGTCTAAATAAATTTGTGAAGATTGGGGCAGACGTAATGCATCCGAAAACGTAATCTAATCATGGAGTATTTGGGTGAAATAATCTCCTTTGGAATTGATACCGTCGTATTCGCTATTTGTTTAAAACAATATATCTACTACAAGAATTCAATTGCGGCGGTTAAGGTAGACAATCAATCATTCAATCGAAAATTTTGAAATATATTACAATTTAAAAAGAGATATGCTAAAACATATATAATATTTAAGATAGCTTGGAAGGTAGAAAATTCATGTGTGTATTTTACAGAGTGTTGAACTGCATGACATTGGATCAGATCTGAAAAATCTAATAGATAACAGTCCGAATAACAAAATAGATTATATTGCTGTCAAAGGAATCGTGAAACCATTAGGAGAATCGTTGCAAAGTATCAATAAAAAAGATGTCACTGGAGTTATACAGAAGTTTAGAGTTAGTGAACATGTTATTGCTAGAACATCGACTGGTTTCTGGTAAGTCAACACATGCATTTATAAACAATAATGATATGTAAATATCAATAATCTTCTTGACTCACTATTATACTTTCTTAATTGATTGTAATACCATAGGTCTGCTCATGAACGAATAATTCAAAAAGTTTATCGTGTAGTACCATTTGTTTTACAAAGGGGATGGTACTCAGTGGAAATTATAGATCCGTTATCCGCTGATATCTTAGATTTGGATATAATTTCTGATAATTTTGAACCTAGTGTACCTACATTTGCGGATCTTGTATGGGGATTTTTTACAGGTAATTGTGCAATGAGATGGGCTGAGATTACTTATTTTTCTTCTATGAGATATTGAATTATTTATATATGTCTTATAGAAAATTCAAGTTTTAAAACTTAATTTATAATGTTATTATTTATTAGGAGTGCGTCAACGTGGCATACAATCTACGGAAAAAATGTTGCGTGACAATTCAATTATTACAGCAATAGGTGAGCTCTCGAGATCACAAACTAAATCAGACACTCTTATATTGCAATCTCCGTTAAATGGGTCTCCTTTTTATATAACAAGCATGTCAATCACCACTTTAATAAGGAATTTGGATGATCGTAAGAAGCTATACAGGTATTTATAAAATTCAACAAAATAATAATTACCATATTATGTATTACTTAATTAAATTTGTATTAAACACATAATTTTCTGAAATCTAGGATATTTTGTGTAATAAGTGGCGCAATTGGATTATTTCTCGGAGGAATCATGGCAAGACGCTACTGGAAGAATAAACAGGAGCAAAGATTGGTGGAGCAGTTACGACAGACGCTTGAGACGTCTCGTCAAGAAAGACGTCAAAGAGTCAGGGATAGGGATCTCAGAGAAGATCAAATATGTGTCGTTTGCAATACAAATGCTCGCGAAATTATTCTACTGCCTTGTGGTCATGTATGCATATGTGAAGATTGTTCGGCTAGCATCAATAATAACTGCCCCATTTGCAGAACAGAAATCACCCAAAGAGCAGCAGCGTATATAGTATGAATTTTATTTTGATATGCGTATAATTTTTATAAAATAAATACTTCTATTGTATTACAAACAAAAAAATATATATATATAATACAAAACTAATGAGTGATAAAATCAAAATGCTACTGCTCTGTTTAATTCAGATTATAATATTTTTACATAGATGATATATA